TTACATTTTGAAGACCCTCCGTTTAAGCGCAGCTGTCTTGCGGAGAGATGATGGACGTAACAGGTTAAGAGTATTACCACGTGAGAAAAGTTCATGGTAACAAAAACCCAAGCATGAACTCTTCACTGGTGTCATGATGGACGTGGTAATTGAAGGTACATGTGCTGCATGTGCTATAGATAGAACAGGATACGTGCAACAGAAAAACCACTCGCTGCTGTAGAGGATTTATTCCTCTTTTAATCCTTTTACTTTTCTGCAGCAATGTTTTAAAAGGGAAGGGTTTTTAAAAAAATTGCAGTTCCCTAAGTTCATGTATTATATCTAACATATTTTTATATTTATGCTTGCACATTATAATGAGGTTTGCTTTGTTTGTGCACATTTAAAAAGCAGAATTATACCGATTAAATATGTTTAGTAAAGACGTAAAGATCACATAAATCTACAATTATAGTATCAATTGTAGATGAAAATAGAATTTCAAGGCCATTTCAGTGTGGGATTGATGTAACCGCCTTTCTGTTGCAGATCAAAACCAAACTGAATACACCAACTGTGAGATTATAGTTTTTAATGTGGATGTTTGCATGGTCTGTAAAGTCTGAAGTTCTAAACGTTTTGAATTGTTCCTCTTTTTAATGATCGCAACTATGCTCTCAGTATCAGAACACAGATTAGAAATGCCCATTTAAAAATTTAAGGTGTTTTAGCCTTTTTTAAGAAGGGAAACAATGTTTTCTTTCTGAAGCTAATATTAATTTGGCAGTATCAGAACACAGATTAGAAATGCCTATTTAAAAATTCAAGGTGTTTTAGCCTTTTTTAAGAGGGAAACAATATTTTCTTTCTAAAGCTAATATTAATTTGTCTGTCAACATTAAATGCTTGAATTTTGCATCTAAATAAACAATTTCATAGATTCAGAGTTAATAGGCTGTATTTTCTTTAAATACAAAATGTTAATTTTCTACAAGCCCCACCAAGACATATAACTATAAATCACTCAAAACATAAGGTGTACAAATTGGAATGGACCTGACATTTTTTAAATACTGGATTTCTTGAGATTTAAAATTGTATTATTCAAAATTGTTATCTGCCACACTACCCAAGTGGTTATTTAAATACACAGGCAAAAAAAATCATCTAATTGCACCGTACTGGAATCACAAAGATAGTTATGGTATCTAATCTTTAAAATAATAGGGAACTTTTCCTTAAGAAAAAGTTTAGGACTAGGAAAAATTATTCCTGCTAAAAAAAAAAAAACATATTTCTAATTCAGAAGAGAAAGGTCCCAGCAGGCAAAAAAGCATCTTAGCAGCTTATTGTTCCACTATAAAATTACATACACAATATGCCTTTGCCTTTGAAATGTATTTCAAGTATGTACTTACAAGTACTTTTAAATATCTGTTATTATTTTAAGCTAATACAACAGAAATCCAAACACTATGTGGTATCTATGTAACCCTTAGTGCCTGCCCTAAGAAAAACCTATGGTCCACCCACCTGCAGTTGCAGCCTGCAGAGCGGGGCTTTGAAGTTGACACTGGAGGCACAAAGTCCCCATAAATGCACAGGCGGTTTGAATGTAACTCACAATCCACCTGCAATCCACTTACAATGGAAGTGGACTTAAGACTAAGTCATAAGTAAATTTTATCATGTTAATTTTCCAGTCTCTGCTGTGCCTATAAAGAGCAGCACTAGTTAGCCTTATCAACTTCAAAGTCTCGTCACAGTTTCTGGCTACGGCCACACAAACACGCTTTATGAGCGAGCAACTAGAGCAATTTCCTCAGGCTGCTTTGCATCTTCGGCTTCCTTGTTCATTTAATTTCTTTTTAAACGAAGAGGAAACAGAGGAGATTTGTGCCTGGTAAAGGACAGCGGAGCACCAAGGAGTTTGACTACTTTAAGATCTAGCTGCCTGAAATGTGGGTCCTCTGCCACTCACTCACACTACTCCCTCACCAGATATTCTAGAAATAAGTTTATTTCTATACTCAACTTTAGCACGTGGTAGGATCTCTCAAACTTGACTGTATGCAAATGGCGGGGTTAATTATCAGAGAAGTGCGAAAGGGGAGAGGGATTTTCTAAAGGTCTAGTCTCTTTCTTCAAAGCTTTAATTTTAATCGTGCCAGTCTGAAGTTTACATGGAATCTAAATACATCTGAAAGACTTTATTCTAGAATAATTGGGACGTAATTTCAATCAGGGACTAAAAATTTAATAACTACTTTACAAAGGTAAAAGCAAAGCAATGAAGTCATTAGTGTTCTAGTCAGGCTTCCTAGGAAAGCATTAAGTTAAAAATCTTTTGAGAACTGCAGAAAAGGAAGAACAGGGAGGGAGAAAAGATTAACTAGCAGCTTATTCTGAGAAAGAGGAGCTGATGCATCAGTGGATACTGGCAAAGTTTGTGTGCTAGTATCTCAAATTATCTGGAAGGGGAGCAGGGCATGTGATTACACGGCTTTGTGTTAAACTGGAAACCTCATCTTATTTTTCAATCTTCAGATTTCACAGTACTGATCTCATTAAGCCAGTGTTTTCATGTTGTCACTGCAGTAAATGTAGTTGCTGTGCAAAAGCTGTGGAGTAATGTTGCAACTAAATGACGAGTATTTAATAATTGCCGTGGAGCTACATTTAACTGCAGGTCTAAACTGAATTGAGTGGTCAAACGCAGTGGTAAAAACACTGCTGGCTGAAGTGATAAAAACATGTCATTAGTCCTTACAAGTAAACACTGCAAGATTTTAAGTAGCAATCTAGAAACTATTGCTGCTTATTTCTATAGGTATTGAAGAAAAGTTTTCCCTGTGGTCAAATGTTCTAACAGATTGTTTTTTTCTAGTCAGTTTGTAAAAAAAATGAAACCAATGAAGCCGATCGTCCTTCAGGTGAGATTTTTTCTATGCAATCGCTAGCATCAAAATACAGCTGATGTGATACTTTGAGATTTCGGATCAAGGACATGCGCTGAGTACCAAACAACAGTTTGCCTTACAACAACAAAAAATTATGATCACCCATGCAATTATAAATAAAAGAACTGCTAATATTTGGTAAGAAAGTTGCAACGTTCTTCTATGCTTGCAATATAGCACAAATTGAGCAATTTTGAGAAAAGATTAAACAAGGCAAAAGAGACAGCTTTTCTACTTCATGACAGGATCTGAGAAAGAAAACTACGAAAGCAAACTTCCAAATTACTATAAATGCCAGACAAAAATAGAAAGCAAATTGTCAAATGATCTTTGCCATTTGTTCAGACAAAAAGAAAAGAACAAAAATGAAAACTCTCTCTGAGCATAGATATTCTGAACCAATGTCATGCATGTGATCACAACTTCATTTTAATCTGCTGAAAAAAAGAGTGAGAGTGGAAGATTGGGGAAGTTCAAAAATAGTCTCTGCTATCATAAACTTACAGTTGATTAATTGAAAGGGGAGCACTGAAATTTCAGCTTTCCAGTAATAGTTTGATGTCACTTTAAGCAAGATTGTGCCTCTATATTTGTCTCTGACTACCTTAATCTGTATATTTGCAGTGAACATAAGGAGGACTTTGATCAAAACACAACATGCATTTTACACAACAAGGAGGTCTACAGAGAGGCACTACATTTACAAAAGCAATTGAAGGTGGTTTCAAAGGGAGTTGACAGATTAGAGGATGATGACACTGCTGCTGCAGTCTCAATGGAAATCTGGCTTGATCTAATTAACAACAACGAACTAGAACCACAAAAAGATAATTCAAACATGATTTAAAGAAGTTATATTATCTTTTTACTAGCGTAGCAATGGAGCCTTTCCCTTACTGATTATAGAACAAGTCACAGGTTGAACACAGAACAAGAATAAAAGGCCTGATACCCTTAATTTACCTCCAGCATTCGAAATTGAAGCCTGAGATGTAGCCCGCATATTTCACTGCGGAAGTAGGGAACATCCATGTATTCACATGGAAATGATAAAAAATTGTAAGACTCACACTCATGAAAACTTGAGGGAATTGGGAAATCAAAATTAAAGATTATTTTTAAGGCATGACTATATGTTACTGAGTGCTACGATGATCAAACAGGACACAGTAAATGGAGCACAGCGTGCAGGACAACTCGCATGTTTCATTTGACGTATCTGTGTACATGCATCAGAAATCTCCCAGGTTATTCCCATCCCCTTTTTGTTCAGATTTTTCACCCTAGGAAAAATGCACTGGCAGGAAAACTTCTCACTGATCCTGAACTTATTCAGGCCTGTAGTTTAAGGCAGTAACAATGCCAGGGACTGATTCGTGCTGACATTTCCACAATTGTCAGTACTAGGTGCCTGCTGCCCGTATGTGGCGTGTACTACAGGGATTTCTGTGAATTTTAGTTCTGATGCACCTTTTGTACTAAAAACACTTTTATTGGCTCTTCTGATTGTCTTCTCTGACAATCACTGTCACTAAGACATAATGTAGCTGGTGTTTATATGCCTATATGCTTCTGTACACACATGTATAATGAAATATAATCATCCTGGCATTTAATCATTATGGCATTTCCATTGGATGCATTTTACATGTGGGAACTACAGCAATGATTTACTGCATTCACAGGAAATGTGTAACTTTGCCAGGGAACGTAGAAGTTACTAAAAAATGCAGCAGCCATTTGGACACATTTTGAGTGCTGTTTGACCACCTAAAAGACAAGGATACAGGGAATCTCCAAGTAAGTGAATTTTTCCATTCTCCTTGCAGTTATCTTCCTGCTTTTTAACTCTTGCTCATGGAATTTAAAAATAAAAAACAAACCTCTCTGTTGCAGCTGGTAGGGTTTTTTCCTTCCAATATTACTAGATAGAAATAGTACTAACTGAATAGCAAACTGGCAACTACAACTCAGCACTTCCTACAGTATATATCTCTCATTGTATTAATTCAGGCATTTTTCCTCTTAGTCCTCAAAATTATATATACATATTTTTACCTCTGTGTCATAATTTTGTAGGCGTCTGGAAGAAAGCATTCTGTGTTCTCCATCTGGAAAGGGTCAGCATCACAAATCTTGTCATCTGTCCGTCCATAGTTAGCACTTTCTATCATAATTACATCGCTTCCTGGACACCGGAGGTCAATGGAGTAGCCTTCGCAGGAGAGCTCCCTCCTAACCAAACCAAATGGTAATGCTGCTCGGCTGAAACCTAAAAAGAAGACAAAAAAAGGGATTGAGCCTAAAGGATATATTGCATTGGACTATTATTTTTCTGTCACATAGGCACTAACTCTCATCAGTGCGCTAAAGGAAGTGCACTTTTAAACAGTTTGACCTGGTACAGTGTTAAGTAAAGCATCTTTCATGAAACTGTCACATCACTACACCACTGCTGCTGTGCCCTTAAACCAGGAGAGAAGGAAATTCCTTTTCACTTCTACCCCTTGCCAGGGCAAACAGTGACACCTGTCTACATGGCAGCAATACACGTTCCTGTTTCCACCTCTGCTTCTTCCTCCCCTGTTTGGGCACAGTCAGACAGGCCACGTCTGAAAGTAGTAACCAGCAGCACAGGCAGGATTTGCAAATGCAGAAGTGATTTAAAAACAAAACAAAAAAAACCCCAAACAAACAAACAAACAGAAACAAACAAAAAAACCCCAAACCCCAAAGCCACAGTTCCAACTTCATTCGTCTTTCTTAATTTGTATCTTCCTTTCTTCAGGAAGAGTTGGTTTCTTTTGCTTAGATATTTTATGTCCCCAGCATGGACATGTCTGTGGCACCAGATCTAACATACACGCCAACACTTTACCTAGTTGAACTTCAGTGCTCCTTACCACATCTTTTACATAAATTAAACCACAGACAGATAAGATTTTGAACAAATATATAAATGATCAATACAGAAAACTGCAGATGTGTACTGTATAAAATCTCCCCATCCTTTCCAAAAATTATCTATGTATTTCAGACAATTCTAATTTTTAACATTTTTTTCTGCTTGAGAGAATTCCTAAAAATAGGTAACTTCTCTAAGAGTAAGGAAGCAGTATCAGATGCTTTAGAAACAAAAAAATGTTCCAGATATTCATCCAGATGTTTTGTCTTCTACAGATATTTCTTTATGCAAAAACCATATTGCATCAAAAAACAACTATAGCTTTATACTACACTTTCTTGTACACAGCTGCTGGTGTATTATTATTAAACAGAATATTTCTGTTTCTTACAAAGTGTGTGCATTACTGTCTTTTGGAAGACAAGTTGGGTAATATCACAGTGTTAAATACCTATTTCTTTAAAATAGTAAATCCTTTCTAAATTTTCAGCAGAATCACAGATATTTCCTATTTTTAAAAAAAGTCATCCTAATACAGTAGCACAAGGCCATTAATATTTCAGTGCAGGCTGCTGGAGACAAGTTGTGACAGCAAAGAGAAACAGCTAGTAAGTATGGAAAGTTGGAGCTCTACGGTGTTTTGAAGGCAAAGAAAATAAACTTTTCTTGAAAAAGAAGATGCTTTAGAAGAGGCAAGGAAGCAAGGATCTAAAAAGATCAAGACAACTTGAGATAACCCCTTGATAGTAAATTTTCACACGAACCAGAGGCTGTCACTTTTTCTACAGAATTAATGATCCATGGATTAAAACTCCTACTGTATGAAGACGATTATCTGTTAGGACTGCAAAAGAGAGCTGTTGATAATGATGATGCCAGCATCAGGATGTGGGTCCCTGGCAGCCGGAGCCCATCTTCCCAGCCGCCCCAGCTCCACCTGCAGGCCCTGCCTTCCCCTTTGCACCAGCACCAGCTTTTGTCCAACCTCTGCAGAAAACTAATGCAAGGGGCCGGTGCGACTCTAACCTCCCCCAACTGCAGAAGAACCGATGAGGTCCCAGAGGACCAGCTCTTTGGCTGAGTGGGAGTTCACCCCAGCGGGAGGGGAAGGCCAGAGTGCAGCAACCGGCTCTGCTTTTACTCTTTACATTTTGTGGAACCATATCCTACATGAGGCCAGCACCGTTACTCTGCCAATACGTTTCAGTATTGGTTAATACGGGAAGAAGCCATATTGCTGTGGAAAGCACCACAGTTCCATCTCAAATGCACTCCTGGCCGTTGGTTTGGCTGCACACCCCATGCGCAATAGCAAACACTATTATTAGCGGCTTGCTGAAGTATCGTGAGCTGAAAGCTGGAAAGAGCTAAAACACGAATCCATCACATTAACGCCCTACATGTTCCTCCCATGCAGCAAATTAATACAACGAAGACAGAAGCTGCTCACGGCTCAGTGAGGGCGTGAAATGGGCACAGAGAGGGGTACGCACAAAGCCCCCGCCACACATGCATACAGCAGCTCCTTTGATTAATTACCATCACGACAGCCGCGGTGGGACCAAATATAATGCTGCTAGTGACTACATCCTACCGCTCCTGTCAAATTTAATGCCGTCCACATAAAGCTCATCCCTCTGACTGGTGGCAATGGTGCCTGTATCTCCCGCACTCGGACGGGCTTCCCCCGGCAGGCAGCACCACCAGGGCCCGGCCGGGGGAGTCCGGCTGCCCCCTCCCTTCCTCCTTCCCTGCCTCCCACAGGAGCCCCACATATGCTGTCATGTGGATGCACAGCCACACTTTTAGGTTTCGATCAGCAAGGAGGGGAACATTGGCTCCAGCTGTGCAAAGGGCAGAGCGGGGAGGGCTGGGGATGCATCAGGTACAGCCGTGGAGGTGTCGGGGCTACGCATGCAGCAGCAGGTCAGACGTATGGACCGTTATGGGGCCAGGGCTGAGAAACCCACACCGAGCTACCTGTGACGAGCACTGAACCCTTCCTGCAGATCCAGCAGCACAGCGTCCGCTTCTGCTAGGAAATACCTTGAATCCAAATACAAGACCTCCACAGTTTGTTACAGAGATCAGCTGCCTTCAAGTCTTATTTCATCATCTACGGCAACTGCTATAAGTACTACGAATGCGTTTTATCCTGCAATTTTTCCCCCTGCAGGCATCTGTGAGAAGTTCTGTATTAGGACAAACATTAAAAGTACTAGAGCAACGTTAGATCACTTCACAGGCAACAGAGGACACACCTGAGACTGCAATGTAGGTGTTACATTGCAAAAGCAGCAAGCAATAAAGCAAAACAATGCAGCGTGCGTTAGATGGGGAGGCTGCTCTAAGGAATCTCCATGGCGCAGAAAGAATTTTAACCAAATAAAATAAATAAATTTAAAGTCCACTAACAAAGCTGCTGTGATCTTTATTCCGAAGCTTTATTTGTAATCTTTTCCAATCAACAAAGAAAAAATAAGCATATCAACAAGCAAAGTGTAATTCAATCCATCTTGCAACCCTGACAATCGAAGAAAGAACTAGTGGGAGGCCCTGTGAGCGAAAAATCAATATTGCAGCTTTGTGCCGTGCAAATGTGAATACTGCCAAATAGCAGTGCTTAGGGTAAAATGAACTGTTTTGCTCCATTTTCTCCTCTCTGAACAAATGATTTTGAAACGACAGCTTTTTTTGGAGCTATAAAATGTCAAGCAATAACTCCCTGCGCTTTAGGCAAGTGATTGGAATAAATACCTCTTGGCAACAGGTGTGATGACTTAGGACTGAAATTCATTTACATCCAGGAGATAATTCCTGATAAACAGATGCACTGCCACAGGATGGAAGTCTGAGCAACCGGCATCTGAATGCTACTGCCTGGTTCTGCACCATTCCAGAGCTTTTAACATGTAAGTATGTGGCCCTGTCAATAATTACTGTTGTCACTGGCAACTTTGTATCTCCAGTGCAGTTCCTCATGAATATTTTCAATGCTGTAGTTTCTAACCAACCTGTGTTCAACCTGCTGCTTGCCTTACTGTACCTTGCATAAACCTATTTTATTTGGCTGTCCTCCTGCAGTTGAAATCAACGTGCCTCAGCCTTCCTGCTAATTGCTTCAAGGCAAACTGTGCTACGGATGACACCGTTCCTGCTGTCTGCCGCCCAAGAACGCAAAGTGCTTCCCGACTGCTAAGACCTTGGTGGTGCCAGGGCTGGGACTTCCAGCACAACCTAAACATTAATTCAAGTAAGCGTCTATTACCAAATGCAGCATATGCTGTCTCTGATTCATTCGCGTTTGTATATATTAATCAGTGTTGTGTTTTTTGTTGTGTGGTTGTTTTTTTTTTTTAATGGAAGAAGATTAATACCTAATGAGGAAAAGAGCGTGGTTTCTGTCCTGCTGACCATTTTGATTACAGAAAAGCTTCCTGGCAAACATATGTTTCCTGCACGTTTTATCTGCTCACAAATTAACTGAGTGCAGGCTCTTCACTGAAAGAACAAAATAAACTGCTTTTGTGAAATCGCATTTCTAAGAAAAAAAGGCGGAGGGGATTTTCAGTGGTAATATACATTCTTTAATGCTTTGTTGATCAGTCCACACAGAAAAACACACTGAGAAAAAAATCTAAATAAAACATCACGAACAAAAAATCTTTCCTCTTATACTTTAGTCTGTGAAATTAAAAAATACAAGGCCTATGAAAGAAATCGTGTGTCAGAAATACGTTAAATCCACATTTAGTGAAAAATTGTTTTATGTAAGTTTGCAATGCCTTATTTACGGTCTTGGTTCCTTCATAAGAAATTATTTGTCTTTAGAAAGATAACCTAAATTTGTCAAAGTGCAAAGAAAAGTTAATAATTCACAGCATCCTGCCCACTAGCTTACCGTCTTTCTGAGCTGTCAATAATAAGAGAGTGTGCTAAGTTTGGTAGATAAAAGCAAAAAGGCACCACCACATTTGAATGTTCACCCCATACAGAGGAAAAATAGTGGAATGTAAACAGGCTAACATCAGTACTCCTCGACATCAGAAGCAAGGAACCTTTGATTAAAACTTAAAGCACAGAGAAAGTCAACATGGAAATATAAAATTATTTCAAAGAATGCAGATACTGGAAGAACTAAGAATCCAAAACAAATCTTTGCAGAAATAAATGTATATGTCTCTTCGAGCAAGGAAATATTGCTTCTTGTGTTATTTGGCTCTAACAGAAAGGTCTTTTGAAAAGAGCACATCTTTTCAAACAGAATGTTTACAGTTGTCTCTTTCACAATCTCTTTTATTTTACCAAATCATGCAACATGATGATTCAAATTCTACACGAGATGAAGTGATGCATCTTGGGCAGCA